GGATCTGTTAAATCCAGGGTTGTGAGCTCAATCCTTTGAGGGGGCCATTTAAGGTTATGGGGCAAAAACTGGGGATTGATTCTGCTTTGAGCAGGGGGTTGGACTAGATACCTCCTGAGGTCCCTTCCACCTCTGGTCTTCTGTGATTCTCTGCACCTTTGCTACGATTCCAGGGGGTGTATGGGGCTGGACGGATAGATGATAGAGGGGGCATCTGGGGATAGAGAGAGGCTGTCCCCACAGAGCCGGGCCGAGAGGGGAGGCCGTGTCTGAGGCTGGCTGGGAAGGGATTTGAGGACACCAGCCCAGTGTAATTTCTGTTTGTGCTTTCGTCCCAGCATACAAGTGACAGGATGTTTTCACTGGCAGCTTATCATTAACTCTGATAGATTGCGGCTGCACAATGCGGGCTGTGTCTGAGGACGGGTTTCCCAGCCGTCACGGCCCATTCGCTGCAGTCATTGGCGGGCAACCACAGATTGTGAGGCCGTTTCTCCTGTCGCTTCTCCCCCACCTCCCCCCGGCCCCCGCTTTTCTCAGGGTTTGGCTCAACTTCTTGGCCTCCTCTTTTCATCCTATGAACCATGGGTGGCTTTGAGGAAGCATCAGTCTCTCCTGGACTTCCCGTGGGTTTGGGCAAGGGAGCAGAAACTGTGAGTGTCTATATACCTAGCCATTCTTCTATCCATCCAATCATCCATCCATCCATCCCCACACGCCTCCATCCGTCCGTCCATCTGTCCATCCATCCATCTCCACACGCCTCCATCCATTCATCCATCCGTCTGTCCATCCGTTCGTCCATCCCCACACCCTCCCATCCATCCGTCCACCTGTCCATCCACTCGTTCATCTCCAGCGGAGGGCAATGAAAATAATTAGGGGACTGGGGCACATGACTTATGAGGAGAGGCTGAGGGAACTGGGATTGTTTAATCTGCAGAAGAGAAGAATGAGGGGGGATTTGATACTGAAAGGGGGTTCCAAAGAGGATGGAGCTCCGCTGTTCTCAGTGGTAGCAGATGACAGAACGAGGAGTAATGGTCTCCAGTTGCAGTGGGGGAGGTCTAGATTGGATATTAGGAAAAACTATTTCACTAGGAGGGTGGGGAAGCACTGGAATGGGTTCCCTAGGGAGGTGGTGGAATCTCCTTAGAGGTTTTTAAGGTCAGGCTTGACAAAGCCCTGGCTGGGATGATTTAATTGGGGATTGGTCCTGCTTTGAACAGGGGGTTGGACTAGATACCTCTTGAGGTCCCTTCCAACCCTGATCTTCTGAGTCTATGATTCTATGATCTATCGATCCAATCATCCATCCATCCATCTGTCTGTCTGTCCACCCCCCCCACCCATCCTTCCTCCATTCACCCATCCACTCATGCTTCCATTCCCTCCAATCATTTATCTATCCATCCATCAGTCTGTCCACCCATCCATCCATCCATCCATCCAAACTTTTATCTCTCCATCCATCCATCCATTCACCCAATCTTTTATCCATCCATCCATCCATCCATCCATCCATCCATCCATCCATCCATCCATCCATCCAAACTTTTATCTCTCCATCCATCCATCCATTCACCCAATCTTTTATCCATCCATCCATCCATCCATCCATCCATCCATCCATCCATCCAATCTTTTATCTCTCCATCCATCCTTTTATCCATCCATCCATCCATCCATCCATTCATTCAATCTTTTATTTCTCCATCCATCCATCCATCCATTCAATCTTTTATCCATCCATCCATCCATCCATTCCATGATTTACCTATCCACCCTCACACCCAACAATCTATCTGGCCATATATTAATAATATTTAATAATAATTTATAAATAATAATATTGAAACTCATTTTTCTGGAATGGGCCCAGCTTACCAAAGGGTCCGGGTCGCTCTGTATGACAGCCCTCGCCTCATCACTACGTCCCGCTCACTAATTTGATCAGCAGTGGTTTCACGTTTACCATCAAGTCGCTGAGGAAACTGCCGAATAATGTCGGGCCCAGGCCCGGGGTCACACTGAACGCACCCCCATTCGGTGATGGTGGGGGATTAGACTAGATGACCCCTGGGGTCCTTTCGAACCCTATTGTTCTGTGATTCTGTGCACAGGCGCCAGCTGCTATAGACGCCACCAGGGTGCCACCGTGCCCGTCACCGTCCCAGCCCAGTCAAACGTCCAACTTCCTCATCTTCGGAGCAATTAATGGCTCAAGCCTCGGACAAATCAGAGACCGGATTTTGATTCCTGAGCAAGCGTAGCAGCTGAGCTCCTCTGGGACAAGGCTGATCCACAAGCACTGGTCAAGCGGGGGGGAGTCCAGCGTTTGAGAGGCTCTCAGAAACGCTGCCCACCCGCCTCTTTGAGGCGCCCTCATGACCTTGACCCCCCCCTTCCTATCATCGTCACAGACGTCCCGGTCTGGGGCATGGGTGGTCCAAGGAGTCAGAGCTGGAATCAGGAGCCAGGAGTCAGAAACCAAACGGGGCTGGAGCAAGGCTGGGAATAGGAACCCATTACGGCTGTGGCCCTTTACAAGGTGATGATCAGCCACCCTCTCAGATGATCCTAGTTGGCAGGGGATCGGCCAGTCTTGGGCAATGACTGGCCCCGGCTGAGAGAGTTTGCCCAAAAGCCAGAGACGGTGCAGTTGGAAGAGACGCTTCAGGAGAGAGTTTACACCTTGGGATAAGTCCTGATGGGAGAAGGGACAGGGCGAAGGAGACCCCCTGGAGTGGGCCAACCCACAGGCAGATGGAGCTGAGAATCCAGACTCCAGGGAGGTCACTTTTCAGAGTCAGGAAAACAGAGAGCCTGGGAGAACCCTGGATGGGTTAAAGGTCCAAGCCCAGGGAAGGGGCAGAAGTGGCTTCTGGTGCATTTTGTTTCACTTCTGCGTGTAGCTGAAAGCCTCCTCCTGGGGCCATGACTCTGACAGCAGCGGGAAACGGAAACCGTCCGGTTGATGCCCAGGGTCCTGTGGGATGCTCTCCATGTGGGACGTTCCTGCCTCGGAAGGGACCTGGCTATCTGGCAGAGTCTTGAGCAGAAACGGCCCACTGCAGCAGGGGGGGGTGCTGACTGTTTGCTCCACCAAACCCACCCACGAGGGGGCCAATCCAGTGGTGAGTTAACTCTTCTCCACCAGGGGTTCTCAAGCCCCCCCCCTTGAAAATATTTCAAGCTGGGATGACCCCCCCCTTCCCTTTCCAAAATGTGAAGACCCTCCTATACCATGTCACCCTTCAGAGCTAGGCGCCCGGCCAGCAGCCATCACTCTCGCAAACCTCCCCCCCCAACAATAGTCTTGCAACCCCCTTTTGGGTCAGGATCCCCAGTTTGAGAAACCCTGTTCTACACCAACCCCAAAATGAACAATTTTTTTTAAAAAAAAGAGGCAAGAAATAAGATTTCAAAGATGCTATTTCACTAAAACGGAACATTCCTCTTGGGACGGTGGCAAATTTAGTGGAATTTTGTTTTGGATTTAAAAAAAACACACGCACCCCCGACAAAAAAGCATTTTGACAAGGTTGAAAGGCTCTGTTTTGAAGTTTTCGTATGGGAACGTTTTGAGTTTTTTTTCGTATTGGAAAATTGACCCCCTCTCTCTCCCCGCCGCCCCGCAAAAAAAAATTAATCAAAATTTCAAAATCAAAACATTTCCATGGCCCTGAAATGAAATGTGTTTGGAAATTTTGTTTCACACGACATTTTGAAATGTGGTGGCTCTTACCCGATTCAGAGCCAACTTAGACCTGGTAGAATTGCTCATTAAATGGTTCCCATGCAGCAGGGTGATAGAAAACACGGCCGAAAAAAAATCACCTTTTTGTTTCCTTTTTAAATGTTTGGAAAAATTTTTATTTCCAAATCATTTCTCATTTTCTGTTTTTCTCGGGTCGTAGATGTAAGCTCCTTGTGATCCTCTTGTGTCACCTCCTGCCTAGCAAACTAAGAAATACTCAAAACAAGTCCAATTTTATAAAGAATTATTCGATTAGCTGAGTTACATGGGCCCAGAGCGACAAATGGATTTTGGCACTTAACCCCCCTGGGATCTGGACCATGGTGCAATGAATTATTATTGTTTATGATTTATTTTATTAATTAGGATCATAATTATTTGTATTATTTGAAGTAATTATTCCAAGTTTTAAAGACCTAATCACGGCGTACAGTGTCTCATTTGGGACATGGAAAATGCTGAAGTCCTAAAAGAGACATGAAAAAATTCTGTTGACAAAATGTCAATAAAAACTTGGTGAAAAACACAGGAGAAACCAGGAAGTCTGACTGTCAACGCTTTGAAAAAAATGGCATTTTTCATGATTAAAAATTGCAGGGGGCTTCATTATGGGGCACAGAGCTGGTTATAAAAAAAAAAGATTTCAAAATTTACTTTTGTCTGAAATCGGGATGGACGGGGGGAGGGATAACTTAGTGGTGTGAGCATTGGCCTGCTCAACCCAGGGTTGTGAGTTCAGTCCTTTCAGTCCTTGAGGGGGCCATTTAGGGATCTGGGGTAAAAATTGGGGATTGGTCCTGCTTTGAGCAGGGGGTTGGACTAGATGACCTCCTGAGGGCCCTTCCACCCCTGATTGTCTATGACAGAATTTTTCACAAAATGAAATATTCCAAAAATATTTTGTGTCAAACTTTAGGATTTTTGTTTACAAATTAATTCAATTATATTGGATTACCTGACTTGGCAAACTTCATTATTTTTACCAATAGATTAGACAGGTAAAATAGATGTTTATTTTCAAGCAATCAACCATCCTGCCTTCCAGCCCCTTGCCACTCTAACCCACTCCCCTCCCAGCACTGGGGATAGAACCCAGGAGTCCTGGCTCCCAGTCTCCCCACTCTGAGCCACCAGCCACCACTCCCCTCCTGGAGCCAGGGAGAGAACCCAGGAGTCCTGGCTTCCAGCCCCCGCCTGCTCTAACCCCCACTGTTATACTTAAAGTACTGCACAGGATCTGTTCAGAGGGGATAAGGCAAACGCCGCATTTATTGGTAATCCACGTATCAATCATACCCTGGATCATACGCATACGATCGATGTTACACTCCCACACACACGCACACTCCGTCTTGTTGTTGTTCCCACCGAGGTGCTCCCCTTCACTTCACTGGCCAGGTGCGTTAGATGGGGGAGAGGTGGATCCGATCCGGAGCGATGCTCCCACGTTGACAAGCCGAGACCTGGGGTCCTCTGCACGACACCTCCCAAGTAGAGCCGCTTCCCTCTCATGCAAATGCAAAATCTGCCTCCGGCGGCGCTTCCTTCGGGATGCCCCGTTTCGTTTCAGAGAGGGTGTTTTCAAAAGAAGGTGCTGGCTTCTCACCCCCAAGGCCGTCAGTATGTCTGATCTTCCGTAGTGAGCCCACCTGGCAAGTTTTATTGTGCTTGGCTCTGGCTCCCGTCCCCTTCCAAGGGTTGCAGCTGTCCGGAGGCGCTGCCTTCCACGCCTCGCTCCTTCACCAGGGCAGGCGGTTAAAAGGGGGAGATTTTGTTCTACTCCGAGCGAAAAAACATTTTCCTTCTGCCTTAACTCTCCTTAGGGGCTATAGCTCAATACAAAGTTTCGGTGTAAGGATTTGATATAAAGTTGTGTGAAAACGGAGGTTATATATGGAAAGACTTAATACAAGGTTATATGCAGAGGCATAATACAAAGTCGTATGAAAATGATACACAATTATGCGAAGATGCTTAATGCAGAGATTTATCTACACCACTCCCCTCCCAGAGCCAGGGAGAGAAGCCAGGAGTCCTAGCTCCCAGCCCCCGCTGCGTTAACCACTAGACCCCACTCCCCTCCCAGAGCCAGGGAGAGAAGCCAGGAGTCCTGGCTCCCAGCCCCCTCCTCCCAAACCACTTGAGAATCTCACAGGACTGAAGGAATTACTGTGGGCCCAAGAACCCCTCCTGGCTGCAGCTGGAGGGGGGCAGGGCTTGTTACAGAGGAGCCCCAGGTAGGGAAAAGCGGGGTGCTGTTGGAAGGAAGGGGTTTATGGGGAGCTTTGCTGTCCGAGGCTGGGTGGCAGAGAGAGCAGAGGGGACCTGGATGCTCCCTGTAGGATGGGGAAGACCCAGTTCACCGATGAGTCGAGCAGCATCACTGCATCCCTCACTCGGGGCAGCTCCCTCCCTCTCCGGGCAACGGGCTCAGGCTCTCGGCAGCCCCAGGCAGCGTCGCTGCATCCATCAGGCTCAGGGAAGCTCCCCCTTGCCACAGCGCTGGGCTCAGGCTCTCGGCAGACTCAGGGACAGGTGCTCTCCAGCTTACTCGCTGGCCTTGACTAGCAACGCAGCTCGATGCGCTTCCTCCCCTCCCAGCCCAGCCGGCCTGTCGCTCCGATGCCCCGAGCAGGAAGCGGGTTGCTGCTGACGATGCCAGATGGAGCTGCCAGCCAAGAGAAGACAAGGCCGATGAACGCTGGGCCCGCCTCCCGCTGGCCGCCCATCGACCTTGACAAGTCAGCGGAGCATGGCGAGGTGATCCGGGCCTGCATTCAGCCCTTCTGTTTACCCTGCTGTGGGGATCAAAGCAGCCAGTGTTGCAGGCGAGATCGCCTAGCAATAGAGCTGAGTGCGCCTGCCAGTGATTTGCCAGGTGGGGAAACTGAGGCACAGAACTGCGGGAGGGGTGAGGCACCTCCAAAGGCAGAGCCAATGAGCGTTCGCTGCTCTCTTAATCTCTAGGTGTTGGCTGAGTCCATAGAAAAACCTGAAACAATCATGCTGCCCGTAATGTAATCAAAACTTCACTCCCCACACTGGGTTAGAACCCAGGCGTCCTGGCTCCCCCCTCTAACCCACCAGCCCCCACTCCCCTCCCAGAGCTGGGGAGTGAACCCAGGAGTCCTGGCTCCCAGCCCCTCCCTGCTCTAACCCACCAGCCCACACTCCCCTCCCAGAGCCAGGGAGCGAACCCAGGAGTCCTGGCTCCCAGCCCCTCCCTGCTCTAACCCACCAGCCCCCAGTCCCCTCCCAGAGCCGGGGAGTGAACCCAGGAGTCCTCATGCCCAGGGTACCCATTACCCCCTGCCTCTGTTTGCATTTCCAGCTCCAGGCTATTTTTGCTTTTTCTCATTTCGTGCCCATCCGCCCTGGGCCACAGCCAGGTTATATGATAAATAAATACGGTTCCAGGAGATGAGGTGGAGACATCCTCTGGTTTGCCCCCCCCCGCCCCCGCCCCCCAGGCTCTGCCCAGGGGGTAGCACCAAGGTCGCGGGCAGGAGACAAACGCCCTTGCATGCCAGGGAGCTGCGAGGGGGCCCGGAGACCCCTGAGCATGCAAGGGAATGGGCAGGGCCCTGAGCTGGCCCACCCCTGCGGGGCGAACCGACCTGAGATCTGGGCTGGCGCGTGTGGGGAACCCCGCCGTCCCCGGCCGGCGTGGGGGGGGGGCACCCCAGCTTTGGTCAGGAGCTTGCCCGCTGGCTGACGGGCAGAACCCCGGCTGTGCAAAACGTCGGCGCGGCCCAGATCGGCTTTCATTTCGGGGCGGGGGGGGGCGGACTGCCACGCCGCTCGGCAAGGGCGTGATTCGGATGGTTTCAAAGCGTGCGCCCTCCAATATAAAAGGGGGGTTTGTGCAGGTCCCCCCCCCCCAAAGGCTAAGGCGGACCGGTCTATAATTCCCGCAGGGTGTCTAACTTTGATACCTGGAAAGCCCCCGGAACAAATGATTCAGCCCTCAGTTTCGGCAGAACCTGGCGGCGAATAGGATTATAAGGAACGGCCGGCGTGGATTTCTCAGGGACACGCCAAACCCATCCAATTCGAGCGGGTAACTGGCCTCGGGGAGGGACGTAACGGCAGACACAAGATACCTTGAGTTTTGTTAGGTTTTTGACACAGGAAACTAGGGGCATGTGGGCCAGATGAAATCATTATAAGTTGGGTGCCCAGACGGCCCGATTTTATAGGGCCAGTCCCTCTATCCGGGGCTTTGTCTTATGTAGGCACCTATTGCCCTGCCCCGATTTTTCACACTTGCTGTCCGCTCACCCGAAGTAGAAGGTGGGCGCACAAGTGGTTGAAGGACCGGCTTCAACGAGTAGTTGCCGCGGCTCACCGGCACGCTAGCGGGGGGTCCCGCTTGGGAAACGGAGCGCTCTAAGGATGCCTTTGAAACCTGCAAGCAGCACCCAAGCTGGGAGGGGGTCAGCCGCGCCGGGCGGGCCAGGGCTAGGATTCGACACGCCCGTGACAAAACGGGAGACTGGGGCTGAAAGGCACGAGCTGCCACCCAGGAAAGACGAGGGCGAAGAAGTCTACGGCTTCAGCTCTGTCCGGGGCTGATCTAACGAGGACGTAACGAGGGCCTGCATCAAGGGAGATTGGGGTGAGGTACCGCAAAAGCCGGTCTCACTCCAAGGGGACGCGAAGCTCCAGACCAGGCGTCCAGGGGAGGTTGTGGGATCCCCGCCATTGCGGGGGTTTAAGGCTAGGTTGGCCAAAGGCCTGCCGGGCACGGCCGACGTTTAACTTGGGCCTGCCTCAGCGCGGGGGGCTGGGCAAGACGACCTCTTCCTGCCCTACGTTCCTATGATGCAGTAACAAAACCTGGGTGGAAATAAATAAGGTCGAAATGGAATTTTTCTGCGGGTTTTCCTCCCAGAACAAAATTTGCCACGGTGCTGTGAAAAGTTTCTATGCCCACCAAACAATATTTCTGGGGGGAAAAAGATTAGCCATCTGAGCCAGTTATACGGTTTGCGCTGCTCAGGATCTTGGGCGGTGGCTTTCTCTCCGTGCCAGCTATCGCTGCACCAAGGGGCTTAGTTGCTTTTGGCACTTAAGCCCAGGAGGCGCGCCCTGAGCAAATAGCTTTCATCGGGCCCTCGGCAGCCTCCAGCCGAACAATGACGCCGGCTGCCGCATCCTTGTTCTCCACTGATCTGGGGCCCTGTGGAAAATTGACCCCCTTCAAAGCCCCATTCCCAGTACAGCCACACGGGGCCCAGCCCCCGCCTGGGGATTTCTCCCCCGAGCCCCAGAGAAGAGCTGCCCCCCGTCTGCCAAGCGGGGCGGGAGTCAAAGCTGAGCAGACACGAAAGCCCTGATCCTCCGGCTGTCTGCGCACCCCACCCGCCCTTCAGCCCATGGGGGTTTTACTCTATGGCATGTGTGACCACTCTCGGGAATGGGACCCCCAAAACACACTGATGTGGGGTCCCAAGAACATGCCGGGAGGATCTCATGGATCTGAGACCTTGACCTTAATCACAATGGTGGGAAGGAGTGTGTGTGGGGGGTCCTACTGGTTAGAGCAGGGCGTGTGGGGTGCCAGATCTCCTGGGTTCTCTCCCCAGCTCTGGGAGGGGAGTGGGGTCCAGTGGGTTAGAGCGGGGGGGGCTGGGAGCCCGGACTCCTGGGTTCTCTCCCCGGCTCTGGGAGGGGAGTGGGGGCTGGTGGGTCAGAGCAGGGGGGGCTGGGAGCCAGGACTCCTGGGTTCTCTCCCCGGCTCTGGGAGGGGAGTGGGGGCTAGTGGTTAGAGCAGGGAAAGCTGGGAGCCTGGACTCCTGGGTTCTCTCCCCAGCTCAGGGAGGAGAGTGGGGTCCAGTGGGTTAGAGTAGGGGGGGCTGGGAGCCCGGACTCCTGGGCTCTATTGCCAGCTCTGGGAGGGGAGCGGGGTCCGGTGGGTTAGAGCAGGGGGGGCTGGGTGCCAGGACTCCTGGGTTCTATTCCCAGCTCTGGGAGGGGAATGCGGTCCAGTGGGTTAGAGCAGGGGAGGCTTGGAGCCAGGACTCCTGGGTTCTCTCCCCAGCTGTGGGAGGGGAATGCAGTCCAGTGGGTTAGAGCGGGGGAGGCTGGGAGCCCAGACTCCTGGGTTCTCTCCCCGGCTCTGGGTCGGGAGTGGGACCTAGCAGGTTAATGTGGGGTGCAGGCTTGCATTGTTAGCTCCTGAGGGCCGGGAGATCCGGGTCCGGCAATCCAGGGGCCTTCCCATGCCAGAAGCGTGGGAATCACACGTGTGGCTGGGCCAACAAACGGCCCATTGTCCCGCGCGGAGCCGGCTGGGCCAGAACTGTCAGGCAGGTGCTGGGCGTCCCGCGAGGGAGGGACCCACCGCCGCACAAGGGAGTCTCTGTGCAGGTTGGCGCTGGGCCAGGCTCTGGGCCGGCGGCACTGTGTCCCCCCCACCGCTGCCCACCCTCGGAGCTGCGTGTCAGGAGCCCCGCAGGGCTGGGGAGCCCAGCCGGGGAAGGAGGGGGCCGGGTGGCCTGTGCCCAGCCCGTGGGGGCAAAAGGATGTGAAATGTCCAGGAACCGCCCCCCCCTCCGCCCCAGGGCAGAGCGAGGGGCAGCAGGAACCCCACAGCCCACATTCACTACTTGTTATTGGGGTTCGGGGAGCACCCCCACACCGGGGGCCCATTGCGCCAGGCACCGTTCCGGACCCTCCCTTGAATGGGATCAGGGCCCCCATGGGGCAGGACGCTGCAGCGACATAGTGAGAGACAGTCTCTGCCCCACAGAGCTCCTGGGGTAAGTAGACAAAGGAGAGAGGAGGAAATACAGGCCCGAGTCTCCCCACAGAGAGCGAGCTAGAGAACCCAGGAGTCCTGGCTCCCAGCCCCCCCAGCCCCCTCTAATGCACCAGGCCCCACTCCCCTCCCAGAGTCCTGGCTCCCAGCCTCCCCTGCTCTAACCCACCAGCCCCTACGCCCCTCCTAGAGCCAGGGAGAGAACCCAGGAGTCCTGGTTCCCAGCCCCGCCTGCTCTAACCACTAGACCCCACTTCCCTGCCAGAGCTGAGAACAGAACCCAGGAGTCCTGGCTCCGAGCCCGCCCTGCTCTAACCCACCAGCCCCTCCCAGAGCCAAAGAGAGAACCCAGGAGTCCTGGCTCCCAGCCCCCACCCCCGCTCTAACCCACCAGCCCCCACTCCTCTCCCAGAGCCGGGGAAAGAACCCAGGAGTCCTGGCTCCCAGTCTCTCCCCACTATACTGGCCTCACCCAGAAGCGAGCTGCGTACCCCCTCCTCCTAAAAGGCTAGTGGCCTGGCAGGTGGGTGCCTCCAGGGCCTAGGCCAGGTGCCCAGCTGCGGGGTGAGCATCCCCCCCCCTTGCCCCATTGATCTTGGCACGGGTCCGGAGGCTCCCCGTGCCCCTCCCCAGCCCCGGCTGGGCTGGTACCACCCGCTGGCAGGGCCCCCCCACCCCGGGGCTGGGCTATGCTGCCCCCTCCCGTGCCCTCCTTGTGGGGGCTGCACGGGCAGCTGAGTTATCGGCCGTCAGTCAACCCCCAGCCACCCCACTGACTGGAAGCCAGGACTCCTGGGTTCTCTCCCCAGCTCTGGGAGGGGACTGGGGGGGTTAGAGCGGGGGTGGGGGGTCTGGGAGCCAGGACTCCTGGGTTCTCTCCCCATCTCTGGGAGGGGAGTAGGGGC